CCCGGGGAGCGCCGAGTCCGCGCCGTTGATGCGGAGCTCTCCGAGCTCGTCCCCCATCAGGCCGAGCGACGAACGACATCGGGGCGGTTAGCGGAGGACACCCCGTAGCTGCTGCTGCTGCTTCCGCCGCCGCGGCTCGCAGTAACTGTAGCAGTAGCGGTGGCGGCGGCGGCGGCTGCTGCCGCCGAGTCCCCACGCCCCCGGCCGCCATCGCCCTGCCGGAGGCAAAAGAGGTGGTAGCCGTGGCCGCGACGTTGTTCACGGGCATGTTGCCGCCGCGGGTCCTAGGGATAGGACCGCCGTACGCAGCTCCGCCGCCGCTGTTGCTTCGCACAGCCGTTGAGAGACAACGAGACCTTCATGTCGATGGTTTTGGTGTTGACGGCGCCGGCCCGGCCGCGGCGGATGGGCTTGAGGCTAGGGACGGGGGCGGGCGTCGGGAGAGGGGCAAGCTGAGCGGTAGCGGGGGGGGCGGTGGTGGTGGTGGTGGGCGAGCCCTGGGCTCGCTTGTTGCGGCGCTGGATGAGGTTGAACCGGTTCTGGACGTCGTTATAGCTTCGCCCGTGCAGCTGGCGGCAGATCTCGGCCCACTGCAAGTGTCAGTATTGTGTTTGGGGAGGACGGGGGGTGGGTGGGTGGGTTACTAAGTCGAGTGCGACAACAGAATAAAAGACCGTCAAACGTTACGACGAGTCATGAATACGGGATCGTCACTTACCGCAACGGCAGCCGTTAGAGCACTGCATCCTGCATACATGCTGCCGCTATTTACAGAAGAGCGAGAGATCTCAGGCATGCGAAAATAGCAGCCGCACCTTCAACAACAAAAAAACGTTGCTACATGAAACACTCACTGCCTACACCCCCAAGAACTCTCCGCAATCCGTGCCCGTGCAAGCAAGCCTGCGGCAACCGGTACCGCCAGCAAGCTAAGAAGAGATAAGCCAACTACTACTGTACCTGGTTCTGCTTGGCGAAACACAGACGCATGAGAAGCGCCTCTTCGTCTTCGGTCCACGGCATGTCCTTGCGCAGGCTGGGGTCGAGGTGGTTCAGGTATCGCTCCCGGCACTGCTTGGCGATGCGGCCCGGGATGTGTCTCGCGAGGTCGGACCACTGTTGTTGGGGCCGGCCATCATCGTGTTTTTGTTGATGGGCGAGGGGGGGCGTTGGTCAGCAGGGGGTTGAAAAGAAATACAATAGCATTTTTTGACAAGGGGTTGGTGAAAGCATGTCGGCTGTCATTTCTCAAAACACACACAAGGGACGAAACAACACCGCACGCTGAAAAAAAAAGTACGACGATCGGTCAGTAGGGGGTTGACAAAATTATGCTTCGAGGAAGTGGTCAGCAGCATACCGCCGGCTGTCATTTCCCGAACACACAACCACCACCGCCGCCGCCGCACGGTGAAAAAAACACACGCCAGAACGCTTCGGCGACTAACGCAGAGCCCGGCGACGCTGTCGCGGCTTGGCGCACCTTCATGCCGACGACCTCGACGAGCTTGGACAGCCGCTCGTCCTCCTCAGCGGTCCAGGTCCCGCTTCCCTTCACCATGTGGTCGGGGTTGACGCCCACCCTCCAGTGGAGCATGCAGGCCGTGGCGGTCTTGCCGGGCATCTTGTCCGCGATGTTGGACCACTTCGGCCCTGTTTGGCAAAAAAAAAAAAACAAGCATCAACAAGAGGAAGGGACGATGATGCGGGGTCGGGTGGGTGGGTGGTTGCGATGAGTTGTGGTAGAGGATTCGAGAGTGCGTAGGCACGTGTGTGGGGTCTGCTTCCAAGCAAACGTGTACGAGGACACGACCAAAACACAAGGGTCCTGCTGTAGGGTGTGCAGCGCATACACGGCAGTCAGGAACAGTGAAACGGAGCTAAAAAGAAGAAATAACTCAACCAGTGCATACACGGGGCAGCCAGGGGTCGTGTAATGGCCATAAAAAAGCAAGAAACAACAAACTCACCCAGCTCGTCAACAAGGTCGCGGAGGCGCTTGGTGAGCTCGGGCGTCCAGTCCTTGGGACTGTGGGCCTCCACCTGATACGTCGGTAGCAAAGGGGAGGGGAGGTTAGCCACTCTTTGGCTTGCTTTTGAATAGATGGAAGGTCAATTCTTCCGTGTCATGACGCTTTCATCGCGACTTTACCCTCCACGTCCGCCGCCCACCGTCAGGTTAGTGCTTTCTTTCGTTGCACCAGTGTTTTCCCCGGTCCTCCCCCTCTTCCTCCCTACCTACCCAGTGCACCCACGCCTCCACTGGCATCGACCACGCTACCCGGCCAACCAATGTGTGCCTGTCTGTCTCTCTCACGTTGGCATCCTTGATGGCCCTCGTCTGCTCCTTCTGGCCGCTGGTCGCGGCTGCCACGCGCTTATTTCGCGGCGCCGCAGCCACGGTAGTCGGTGACCTTGGCTTGGCGGCGCTGCTGCCAATGCTCGATCTCTGGGTGTTCTGAAACAAAAAAGGATAAGGTTCATGCAGAGGAGGAAGGCAGGGGAGGAAAACGAGGCCGAGGGTGGGGGGGGGGGGTGAGGTAAGGGGCGTTGTGATCAAGTGGGCGAGCTGTGGGTGAGTGACGGACCACCTATATTTCCATATTTGTGGTGGCGGGGGTCAAGGGGTCGGGATTATCGGGTGAAGTCGGGTCGTCATGCGGATGGAGAGGCGCGTTTTTATTGTTTCCACCTGAGTGATACTGCTGTAGCTCAGAAGCGGGTGGTGTGCTGGGCACGCAAACAGCCGGTTCGCGGCAGATCTCGTTACCAAACATACCCAGGGAAAATTACCCAACACTCTGTAGTCGTCAAAACATGATGAGGTGGTTGGTTGCCAAGCACAACAGCAAAGGGCACCTGAAACCAAAAATCACACGAAAAAAAAAAAAGAAACAGAGGAAAAACCAAGCCAACAAGTTTTGCGGACGCTTTCACTCCGAAGAGTATCGTGTCCGCCTACCTGCTTCGCGCTGACCTGGTGGGCTCGCTGGTGCTTCTGGACCTTCTCGAGCTGGAGTTGCGCGTCGGTGTGGCGTTGCGAGTGGCGTGGATGTGGCGACCACGACGATCGATGATGAGTGAGTGTGGATTTCATCGCGAGAGCGTCGCCACGGCGAGAAGAAGAAGGGAAGACCGAAAAAGCCGCAAGCCAGCGCAGAACGAAGCCCGATTGAGACGAGCGGCCCGGTTGTTTCGGGGGGCGGGGGCGGGGGGGGGGGGATAACTTTAGTTGCAAATATAGAGCAGCAGGAACCTCAAACCGAACGGCAAACGTACTTGCGACGCAGTAAGAAACCCAGCGGTGATTGCGACGAAGCAAGAAACCCAGCGGTGATTTTTTTTTTTTTTGTTCTTCACTTCAAATCAGCGCTCACAGCACTAGTGCCGTTTGATTGCGACGCAGCAAGAAACCCAGCGGTGGCATCGCGGGAAAACGGCACGTTCGAACCCAGCAACACATGCTATATTTTTTACAAGTTGGTTGCGATGATCAAAAAAAAGAAGAAAAACACTTCTCTAGAATCGCATGTAAAAAAAAAAAAAAAATGACCTTCCTCGCGCTCTCCTTTGCATGCGTGCGTGCTAAAAAGGAGCAACAGAAAAACATCTAAAAAGAAGCAAAAAAAAAAAAAGTGTAGACTGCTGTTGCAGAGGTAATGCACACACCTGGTGGTGCTGGAAGCGCATGCCTTTACGCTCGCCGTTTTGATGCACATGGTTGCACAGGGCGTGGTAGTGCCTTCGCCGCGCCCGGTGGTCCTCCTCACTGAAAAAAAAAAGAAAAAGAAGCAAGGGCCGAAACTTCGTAAGTGCGTGAGAAAAAATAATTTTAAGGCGCGGTACGGGAGGGGGGCGGGGGGGGAAGGGGGGATGTGTGGCGATGTAATGTGAGCACAGGTGATGTTACCGCGGCGGGGGCTGCCTGCCTTCACCTTGAGGTAACATGGCGCACTTTAGGAAGAACATTCGGTATTGGCGAAGCACGGAATCTCGAAATTGCACGTAAAACAAGTGCCGCATGGATGCATGCATGTATACACCTTCAACCGCCTGCGATCGGAAATATTGTGTCTCGACGTTTTCTAGAAATTCAGATGCATACCAGTAGAAACCACGGTTGCCTGGATGTCGCCAAGGACGGCATATATACATGCTGCTAGGAGCTAGCTCGACACACGAACCAAACCTCTCGAACAAACACTACTTGCTGCTGCTGCTGCCGCTTTGAGCACTGCGCACACTCGGCGAGACAATCATTATTTTTTAATTTAATACGCAAGAATACACACAACAAGGGGAGGGGGGGGGGGGCAAAACGAACAAAGAAGCCAGCGCTCCTCTCTCGGAACGTTGCACACACTTACCTTCGGTAGGCGCACTGCTTGGCGGTGCAAACAGCTCGTCGCTCCACGACGGTCCACAGCTTCGGGTCCAACATGAACGGCGTCTTGGTCTTCTTGCCGCCCCTGCCGCCGGACGTCGTCCGGACGGGGGCAGCGGGGGCAGCATCAGGCTCCTCCTCCGACTCGTCCTTCTCTGTCCAGTCGGGGGAAGAGTCACCGCCGCTGCTTTCCTCGTCATTGTCGCCGGCTCCGCCGCCGCCGTTAGCGCCACGGGTGGTCGGCGGGAACGCCGCGGCTAGCGCCGCGCGCGCCGCCGCCGCCGCCGCTTCTGCGGGTGACGATGCTGATGATGGTGCAGCGGCAGAAGCAGCAAGGCCGCCGCCGCCGTTGTGCGGCTGATTGTTGTTGCTGTTGTTGCCGGAGGTGGCGTCGTTCATGGAGTCGGGGACCAGGACGGTTGTGACGCGAACGCCTGCTGCTGCTGCTGCTGCTGCGGAAGCACCACCACGCCAGTTGTTGTTGTCGTTGCCGGTGGCACTGCTGCTGCTGCTGCCGCTGTCGCGGGGGAGGTTGGTCCAACCCCGCGAGCCATCCGCCGCTCGCAGAACCTTCATCTTCTTTCCGCCCGGCCCCTGATGACAGCTCGCGCTCAGCATCATGGGCGTGAGGCGCACGGCCATCTGTGGCACAACCCCGGCCCCCGCCGCCGCCGCCGCCGATGACGACAGCGACCCGTCGGCGTACGGGAGGGGACAAGAAGCAGAAGTCGTCGCCGTCGCGGAAGAAGGAATCCCTCCCCCGCTGCTGCTGATGCCGACTGCAAGCTGCGAATGGGGACGCTTTACGCCGGAAGATGAAGATGGTTGGTGGTGTTGCGATGATGGACCACCACCGCCCATGATGGCGGCGGCGGCGGCGGCGGCGGTGGAAGAGGGAGCGCTGTGCCACCCAGACACGTTGCTGCTGCTGCTGCCGCTGCCGCCCTCCGTTGTCGTTGTCGACCGCAGGAACGGCGGCACGTCCATGCCGAACCCGTGCAAGAACTGCTGCTGCATGCCGGCAGTGGCGGCGGCGGCAGACCTTCCGTCTTCAACCAGACCACTGTTGCTGCCATCGCGAGGATCTCGGGAACCCGGAACACAGTCCTCGCGCGTGACAAACCGAGGCTGCTGTTTTTTTCGATAACTGCTCCCTGCTGAGGCGCCCCCCATGCTGCTACGCTGCTGCTGCTGCTGCTGCTGCTGCTGTTGCCCAGGGGCGGTGGTGGGCCACGATAGTTGTTGTTGTTGCGAGCCGTCAGGAGCAGCGGGGCTGTTGTAGATGTCGTAGCGGCCACCGCTGCTGCTGCTGCTGCTGCTGCTGCCGCTGCTCGTCGCGCCTCCGGAGGCGCCTCCGCCCGGGAACGACGTGATGCCCTCCTCCCCCGCCGCGCGCATGCCGTGCTCGATGGGAGGGTAGGGCGGGCTTCCGGGGGTGGCGAAGGAGGACGGGGCCACGACAATCGCTGCCTTACTTATCTCGGCCGCGACGCTCGCCGCCACAGTGGCAAAATTAGCAGCGGTAGGAGGAGGCCCGGCCGCGGCAGAGATGGCGCGGTGGTGGAAATGCTGGTGCTGGTGCTGGAGATTGGGGGGGGAGTTCAGGTACCACCCGCCGCCGCCGCTGCTGCTGCTGCTGATGCCGCCGCCGGCGGCGGTGGCGCTGCTGGTGCTGGTGCTGGTGCTGCTGCAATCCTCAGGTCGGCGCCCCCCTCGGGTGGCCTGCTGCTGGTCGGGGATGAAAAAGGGAGGGGATTCGCCCTGGTGCTTCTGCACGCCTGACAGGGAAGGCGGGGAGGCGGGGACCAGGGGACGCATGGAGGAAGCGGGGTCGTCGGTTTCCCAGCGCGGACCCGTGATGCCGCCTGCGAGGTGTTGGCTGCCGCTGCCGCTGCGGCCGATGGACTGCGACATGATGCGGTCATCCTGAAGGAGGTTCTCGCAGACTACGTTGATGGTGCTGGTGCTGGTGATGCTGTTGGCATGTGCCCGGGCCCCGCCGGAGTCACTCCTGCTGGTGTTCTGTCTGTCGGATCGCGGGGAAATCAACAGTGGCTCGAGCAAGAGAGCTTCTGGGTCGTACATCTCGTTCGCTGCCGCTGCTGCTGCTTCTTCCGCGGAGGAAGAGGAGATCGTGGCAGAGGCTACATGTAGTGCTGATGCCTTTGACCCGAAAGAAACGCCGTTGCCGGAAATGCCGGTCACGCCCTGAGGCGCTTCCTGCTGCTGCTGCCGGCAGCTTGCGCCCGAGGTGCTGCTACTGCTGTTGCTGCTGCTGCCAGTGCGGACGTCAAACAGCAGGAGACGATTGTTATTGTTACGCACGATCGTCTCGCGGGAGGCACACGACGTTAGGCCGAGCTGCTGCAGTTGTGCCGGCCACGCGTTTTGCAGGCAGGACCCCCCGCTGCTGCTGCTGTCGATCAGCTTGCTGCTGCTGTCGTCCTGCTGCTGCTGCTGTTGTTGCTGCTTGCTCGTCGTCGCGGATGATCGCCAACAAGGCCTCGGAAACATGCCCGAGCTCGTCACGTTTGCTTGCGACAGGATGTTGGTCGCCTGGTGCTCTCGCAGGGTCTGGATTCCGCCATGGTGAGCGTTGGAAGAAGAAGAGGCGGAGGAGGCAGAAGTCGCGGTAGCCAACATGATGGCGGAGCTCCACGCCGCCCGTAGCACACCGCAGGCAGGCAGGGAGAGAGAGAGAGAGAGAGGACGAGGTCTCGATCCGTCTCGGGGCGGCGTCCCTAGGAATTGAGACCACGCAACAAACAGGATTCTTCGGAAGAGGAATTGATGTGTGTCGTGCGTCCCTATTTTTTCTGACTGCGGGTGGTGGATGGGCGGGCAGGTAGCAAGGAGTGAGTTAGTTGGCAGTTGTGGCCATGTGTTCTGCTGTATGCGCCGTATCTTAAAAAATGTATGTGTGTGTTGCCGAATTTCCGAGGTCCGGCAGCAGGCAGCAGAAGTTGCGGACCACGATGCCATTGTTTTGCTGGTGCGCGTACTTTGGCGCTGCGGACCGCATTTCTTTGGCGGTGGCAAGGATTTCGGATCGAAAAGCTCAATTTTCGTTTTATAGGATCTTTCCGACCGACGGTTTCTCTCCAATCGGCTGCGTACTAAAACTCCAAGTTACGCGCGAGACTCTTTTTTTCCCCGTCCTATTGTTTCTTGGATTTCCCCCTGTTCGCCCAAAACTTAAACTTCCGCCTGTGGGGTGCAGCCCACCAACTTCCTTCTTTTCTGTGTGGATCATCATCGTCATATCGATGACGCGAGCACAGCAAGTAAAATATTTCGTGAGAGTTTCGTGAGAGTTTGCATGCATGCATGTGTACACGGAGGGATGATGGAGACTGCGAGAGCAGTTTCGCGTGCGTGTGTGCGTGTGTGCGTGTGTGTGAGCGACTGGCCGCTAGTGGCATAGCCCTCAAGGATGCTGACCACCCATTGATTCTGGAAGAGACGAGAAGACCTTCGGGGAAAAGCAACAACCACGACCACACACAACAGCAGCCTCCAAAAAATACCTAAGAGAGTTTAAACTGTCTTGTTGAGCCTGTTACCCGCAGGGGAGATGTCCCTATATATGCTGTCTGGGAAATCGTAGACATACAGACAGGTACTTTCTGACGCTATGAATCCATTGCTAATCTGTCTCAGACTCTTTTTTATGATAGAGATGGTTTCGTTGTGTCATATTAAGAAAAATAAAAAAGAAAGGAAAATCCGAGTGTTGTGTGCAAAACACACCCGACAAATTATGGAGAAGCCACTGCAGCCCGCCCGTTCATCCGGCCAGGCGGGTTCAATTTTTCCGTTCACGTTTTTTTTTTTTTCTCCTCGCGGACGAATTGCCGTTGTTTGCCAAAGCACACACCAACCATATCAATCACCCTGGTTTCAGATCATTATTTCGGAACAACAACAAGGAGAAGATGGCACGCAAGCAGACAGAGGACAGCAGCAGCAGCAGCAGCAGCAGCAACAGCAGCAGCAGCAGCTTCCCGCGAACCCGCGAACGTGTCTGCATGCTACATCCAATGACACGCACGCCCCCCTCCTACCCTCCCAGTTGAGCGACTTGCCGTTCATGCCATGTAGTCTAGACGTGCATTGAGCCGCATAAAGTCCTATAATCTATCTGTCGACAGCCACATCCCATGCCGCAGTGATGATACTATTTTTTTTTTTTGTCTTCACTTCAAATCAGCGCTCACAGCTCACAGCACTATCGTTAGTAGTGAGTGCCGTTTACTCCAACCCGTGGTCATCACACAGAAGAGCCCCTCTCTACCGTCCCCTCCTGCGGTACTTTGCCTTCGATTTTTAATGCGAGAAGAGTTCAGCACTCTCTTCTCTCCTCTGTGTACACACGAACTATGCGCTATATCCACTAGGAGGCCAGGAGCGGAAGCGAGAGAAAAATACTATGCGCCAACATGACGGCGCATGTTTTGGTGTTTGGCACCCGGTCTCAGGTCAGTTTGAAATCAATTTTCAGAACAACTGGCACACGATACACAACACGTACTACTTACTCTCCCATGTAAATAGCTATCATACGCATACAAAAAAGTTGTGTGTACATTATCTTTGCGTGCCTCCGAGGCGCGCGGAGACAAATATTTTTTAATGGTCTTCTCTATAATATGCATGACTGACGATAGTAATAATAATATAATAGCAGATTCATTCGCTGCGAGAACAATAAACCAGCAAGCTGTCAATAATAGACACTGCGCCGTGTCCCATGTGAAGGTTACATTTTACAATACACGACACAACGGAGGGATTCCCCCCGATATTTTGTCATTGACTCAGTAGAGAACTACAGGGGATGGATGTATTGTAAAATATAAGTTACCTATCTATACAGACAGACAGACAGATGTTTTTGTACTTAGCACCAGCTGGCATCACTGACTGGTATAAATCATCAGTGTATAGACTTAGAAAGACTCGAAATAAGTCCAGTACCCAGCCGGTTTCCCTCCACTCACTGACAAGACTCCACCACATCCCGTTCGACTGTGGGTATATATATATATATATCTCGAATGGGTAGTCTTTCTGTGTGTGTTTTTATTATTCCTTAACAATATCATCCCCGACTGGTAGTACGTAGTAGAGAGACGGCTGCTGCTGCCGCCACACTACTACTACTTACTACCGCCGCGCACGGCGGATTACATGCCAGACCGCGCGAGCGTGTTTCTTCGTAGTATATATATATATATGATCTCCTCCTCATCCTGTCGTACCATGTAGTCTGGGCTACTCTTCTACTCTTGTGATGGTGGTTGGTGTTGTTGTTTTTAGGTGGGGTTCTCGTCGTCGTCGATAGTGTTAAACCCTACATAGAGCAAAAAAAAGTACTGGAAGCCCCCAAATGGGGACACTTTGGGGACACAGCACTCAAATAATGCCTATTTACCGCACTGTAGTCACCCCGGAGGCTCCGCTGTGTGCAACGCACGTACGTGAGAACCCTTGGTCTATCATGCTTGCTTGTGGTTGAGGTGGTACGCTGTGTGACATGCTGTCTGTCTGTGTGATGCCTCTCCTGGGCCTCTGGCTGTACACATCTATCTATCTCCCAACAACCCGCGTGCCCCCTAGGTCATAAAACTGTACATCGTTTGGTACTGGAAAAATTTGCTGACTTTGTCAAGATGTACAGCACATCCACTATGCTACAAGTCAGCGCTGACTTGTAGCATATGTAGTGGATATGCTGTACATCTTAACAAAAGTACAACGGTTCGAATCGGATATCCCTGCTAAGATGTACAGCACATTACATCCACGATGCTACAAGTCAGCGCTGACTTGTAGCATAGTGGATGTGCTGTACATCCTAACAGACTTGGCTTCAGTATGAAAAGTGTCCCCACCTGTTTTGGGGACACTCATCTATCTATTCATACTGCAAATAAATCATGTCGTTACCCTTTGTCTGGCAAGGAGCTCAGATTCTTTGGAGGGACTGTAGCCCCTCGACCAATGGCTGATGAACATTTGATCGACATTTTAGCCCCTCGACCAATGGCTGATGAACATTTGTTCGTCATTTTTTTTTTGCGGAGGGTACTAGGAGGGTAAACGTTACTTAGTTGCGGCCCGCCGTTCAGAAAAATTTAACAACTTTATTTTGAGGAAATATAAGAAAACGTGACTAAGAAACACACCTGAAAACGGACGCAAAGTTAAGAACCATCCGAATAAGAAAACACGCACCCACAGAGACATGTTATGGGATTTGAATACGTAGGAAGTACCAACGGTAGTGCGGGAAATGCCCAGAGGAAAGTGCGGGAGATGTAACTCCCGATTGAAGGATATGAGACATGAGAAACTACAGTAGGGGACCGGAGCTCGTGGCAAATAGCTTGAGTGAGTGTCTTCGTGCGTTTCTTCTGAACAATGCATTATTTCGATTGCTGCACAGGGGGGGGCGGCACACCTCGGCACCTTGGCAGCACCAGTCAGACGAGACCCCCGGAAGTGATTTGTCTATTTAGTTTGTGTGCTTCGCACTCATCGGTTGGGAGATGTTCGTGGACGGAGGGTATGGTTGACGAAATAATGGGTAACATAAGAAACGGCAACTAACCGAGTGACGTTGTACAAGCCAGGCGACAGAGCCAAACAATAGAAATTATCATTTTAAGAAAAACTCATGAGTATTCGACCAACAGCCAGAAAAATAAGACTTTGAGCCTCGACCCGAAATAATTGACGTTTCTTATTCGCGGGCCCCAACTGTACTACTGTAAGAACAGACCAGAGACAAAGTGATTATATTATGTCTCTTCTCTCTCTCGTGTTGCCGCGAGTTGACACATGGCTCATCTGACTGCTGACATCGGAATTATTGTCATGTAGGCTATGCATACAGAGAGGCACGCCGCGCATGCATGTAGTTAAACCCAGACGGTCTCATTCAAATCGTCTCGTGTGTGCCCGGTTCCTCGTGTCGGCCCGGGGGCTGCCGAGATGAATAGCCGACAGTACAACAAGTCTTCCGTCAACGGAAACAAACGTATTAACCAAGTTGACCGACCCAGCATCAAGAGCTGAGCTTTGCCAAGATAGGGAATCATCACCAGACAGAGCGATCCGACAAAACGAACAGAAACATGAACATTGGACAGCAGCAGCGATATACTACTTGGCTCTCCGTGGATGATGAATCTGCGAGTGCAGTTTCTAGATCAAAGTTCAATGTCGCCTCTCATTCCCTTCTGATCAACACATCCCATAAGAGCATATAGCAACTACTACATCGCTGATGTGAAACAACAAGAAATAAGAGTCGCCGTTCCCTTATCCTCCCCACACCCGGGCTGGGCAGCAGGATATTATCATCCATCAACACCCACCCGCACATGAACTCGCAAGAATAACAACTCCCTTCCTATCACTCCAAGTACGGCCCAGGAGGTAAGGAGGAAAAAAGCATTTCGCGCGACGCGGCTTGCAACAACAACCACCAGTGAACCCCCCTGCCAGTACCCCGCACCGGTTTTCTTGCGGTCAACAGCGGCAGATACCGTCGTGTAATGTGTTTTCAGCTTACATCTACAGAGGAGACTCAAACCAGCGCCGGGCGGCGTGGCACGTGACTAAACGTCACTGAATAAAAGTGACGACCACTGTAACGTGTAGGCATATATACATCCGCCTGGACGTGGAAATCAAACACCTCGCTCAGCACTTCTCTACACTGTTGTACATGATCCACACCAGTACATGCCATACTGCAACAGCCAGCCTTTCAGAAAGAAAGGGTGCCAACACACCTCAGCGGTGACTGTCTATCACCACCGGTGGCGCGAGAGATACCAACCCCCGGCAGCCACGGAATTCAAGAATATCTGTACAACAATACAATGACTGGGGTATGAACGGAAGCTACAACTCCCCACTTCGTCACCCTCCTCGACCATCAATGCCGGATACAAAGCGTCACAACGCTGCTTGCCCGTTTCTTGAGGTCGTGGAAAACAGCGAGACCTAAATGCAGAAGTACCATGACGAGGAATTGACACTTCGAAAAGAGCCGACTCGCCACCGATTCACACTGGGCACGAGTACACATGTGCATACACCCTGAACAAACAGATGCCTCTTGAGCTCGCAAAGATACGGCCTGAACAAACAGATGTGCTCTTGAGCACGTAAAAAGTGTCTGCTTTCAGTGATCTACTACCCTCATGCGGAAGCTGTGGCAAAAACGACAAAAATAAAACGTTTCATACACGCACAAATGCCGGTTGCGAGAGCTTACTCCGAGGGTCCGGCTCACCCAAACTCAAAACAAACGAGCTTGACCCCTCCCCCCTCTCGGGATAACCCCTCCCCCCTCTCATCCCGAGGACGCGTGGTCCATGGTCTAACGGCCAAGGCGTGCAAAACACGAGTACGCCCCCCATGCTTGGTTACAGGACGCGGTGACTGGACTTGCCTTGACTTGGCTTGGCTTTGCTTGCGGGTTGGTTCGGCCGACTCCTTTCCTCACCTCCAGAAAGCCAACTTAGCTGCGGGTTGTTGTTGCGACAAGGACAGAGACCAACGCACAGAAAAGTAGTGCAGGCAGCGTTTAGAGGGTGTGCGTGGGTGCATCATTGCTGAGCCAGTGCGGGGGGGGGTGTCACGAGAGACTTGCTTCGTACGGGTGGGATGTCGATCGCCGGTTCTACGTACGCACCAAGTGTGCGACAGTGCTTCGTTCTTGCGGTGTTAGCCTTGGCGAGACAAGAGCAACGGCGAGAGGTGGCATTGCCCCACGTGCGCTCGCTTGAAACAACGTCCATGCAGTTGCCCTACACTTGAAAGGTTGCGGAAGTAGTAGCGAAGAAGACACAATCGGACACCGGAACACAAAAGTAACATTGCGAAGCGGGGCTACGGAAATCAAAACCACCGCGAGCGAGAAATCGGATCATAAACCAAAGTGGACAAGACAAATTCATATGGTACAAATATGAGACCCCGAAACACGACGACCGAAAGAGTAGGATACTCTCGCAACGCCACAAACGTAACGAATATATTTTCCCATGGGCGTGTTGTCGTCGCCACTTTTGAATCGCAGCGGCAAACACGCACGAAAAGAGACCATAAAAGAGGTGAACAAACAGAGCCACACACAAACAACCACAAGAGAACCCAAACAACAGGGTACCCTAAAGCTTGTTCGTTTCTCCACATCGCTCACGGAAACACTCACATAGCTCTTTCTGGACTTGGGCGGCGGGGGGCACCGCCATACGCCTGGGGACGTCCTTGATGCGTACGGCGGGCGCCACGGACCAGTCCCGCCTTATCCGCCTCTTTGGCCCGGCAAACTCCCCGTCAATCTTGTCGACACGTCGAGTTTGCTGCGAAGACAAGGTTGCAGAAGGCGTTGGACGGGGGAATTATGGCGTTCGGGGTCGGGGGATCGGTACAATACACGATGATTCCTAGGGTTAGCTGGTAAGTTTTTTGTCCACAACTTGCGCGTGGGCTCGGCAAAAAAAAATGCAAAGAAGAAAACGTTTGTTTTCGTCTGAAGGAGGCGGGGGCGAGCAACCGGTACATAATTGACAATGCTGGTATCACACTCGATCGAGTTGGGCGTCTGTTTTCGTGTGTGAAATTTCCCCCCTGAGGCAACAACGCTAAAGCCGGTTACAGGGAGACGTGAAAGAAACACAAAGCCGGAAGAGGACTGACTCCGCGCTCAGCATTGTTCCTCTGTTCGCGAGTTGTGGGGACATTTTAGTGGGTGTCGGTGTCACTGTGATGTATCCGTACAGCTCTCGACTTGCTCAGGTAAGTAAGCCACCCGGTCTCGATCTAAATTTGCGCCATCACCCTTTTGAGAAAAAAGTAAAAGTACGGTACCTAAGAACAAGTGATTACGAGGGGGAAGAAGAGGTAAGGCCTACTACAAAAGAACGATGGAGGGCAGAACGGAGGGCCCAAGCTGCCCATTGTGCGTTTCAGAGGGGCCTATTCGGACGTTTCGTACTTCTGTTGCGTAGAATAGGCTTAAGAGGGGAGAACTACACAGACCAAGCAAGTACAAGGGGTGGACGTCCGAATAATGTAAACAGAACACTTGCGTGGACTTCGTTCGATCAGCGTCGTGTTCGCCCGCTGTTTGTACGTTGCTCAACGACCGTTCTCGATTGCCTTGGTACCCGAAAGCGGTCAACGCGCACCGTAAATCAGCGGGCAAAACAATTGCTTCCAAGAATATCATCCCGCTCGTTCGCCATCGCCGGCAAGTGTCTACCCATACCGAACGGTTTCCCCTCTAAAATTCTGCAAGAGTCAGCAACCACAACAACAACACATACATGGTCGAGGATGAACAGGGGGCGGTCGCGGGGCCGCGGGTTTTCGCAGTTGTCCGTTCCGAAGCCGAAGAGACGCGTCACTGGTTGGTTTACAGACGAGACACACGAACGTACGAGTCATGAAACGGAACAAAGCGCTCGTGTTTATGCAGCTGTCAGCTGCCATTGGTCTGCAAGCGGAGCAAATGGCGTATAGGGTGTGCAGCCCGAGAGACAGAGGGGTGTGTGTGGGGGGGTACTCATAGTCGTGCATGCCGGAGTTAGACCAATGACCTCGCGTCCCTACAAAGCCGGGACGGAGCACGCCAGGTTCTCACCGGACCAGCCTCTCACATCACCAAGCGCGAAGCGCCGTGAGGTATTCGGCGAGTCGCATGGAGGGTGCGCTGCATGCTGCCAAGGGTGTTCGGCATCTTGTGCTTACTTTCCTTGCATACGGATGACAGCTGCGACTGACTTAATTTGTTCTCTGGTGCTTTTACTTCCAGAGACAGGTATGAGCACTGTGTAACTGTCTCGAGGGTGCCTGACCAATTTAACACAACGTGGTGCGATCATCCTCTTTGCGCGGAGTGAGGGTTCTCGACCCTGCACAACATGATCTACTCGACCACCATTGTGGTTACCGCAAAAAAAAACAGAGGAAAAAAAAGCGCTAAAATAGGTGTCGAGCTCACGAAGCGATCGGCGTGTTTTACAACGTCGTTGCAAAGCGACGAAAACATGGCTCTCGGGGAAGGGGGTAGACAGAGGGGGGGTGTACAGGAAAATCGACCTCATAAAAAAAGTCTTCACGCGGGGGGGGGGGGGAGAACGTGTGTGTGTGTGAGAAACAATATCATTGGTCACCCGGTCAACGCGGTCAAATGCAACAAAATAACTACACAATCACACACACATACTCCCCCACTTGGATGACGATAAGTACCATTGGTCAACAGGCTACAACGTAGAGCTTCTCAACGGTACTACGCAACATAAACACACGCACAGCAGATGTTACCCAAAGACTCACACACAGCAGCAGCAGCAGCAGCAGCAGCAGATGGTACTTAAAACACATCACACGCACAAAAAAAAAGCTAGCTTACCCTTTCCGGGGAGGGGGTAGCTGGCGTGCTTGCCGAGGCTGACGTACACCCTCGGCCGCCCCGTCTCGTCCAGGATCTCCTTGACGTCATCCTTGTTCCGGATCCACATGTGCTCGTGGCCGCTGTGCGGGCCGTAGAACACTCCCGAAACGTTTTGCTGCTCGGGGTGGAGGGGGCGAGATGGGTTGTTGTTGTTGCTGTGTGGTGGACAGAACCAAGAAGGCTACAAGTCAGTATTGTTAGTATCGCCTCGCACTGCAGGGGCTATTAGGCTCTTGGGGGGGGGGGGGGGGGGGCGTTGGAGGGGAAGGTTGGGAGAGGGGATGCCCATCGGTTGCTCCCTTCTGTTGAGTCGTTTGACCACCGATCCGCGCACCCCCTTAATACGGAGAAACCACGTTCTCTTTCTCCTAACACAGACACGCCTCTTGCTGCGCTCGTTTCGGGGGTGTAGCACGTTTGACGCAATGACCAACGCATGTTGCCCATCTAGCACGTTTTTCGCTATACCAACGGATTTTTCCCATCCGTTCCCCTTCCAAAGACTGGCGGTGTGGGCGGCCAAGTTGTCTCACGATGCTCGAACCTAGTGCAGTCACCGGTGTGTTTGGGGGGGGTTGCATAGACCGTGGTGTGTCTGATGATGCCTTAAAGCACACCGATCACGTGCTGCTGCTACCGCTGCTCGGAGGCGTGGCCATATCCAGCAGGCCGACGACGAACATTCCACTGCTTGCATATCTGTCACATTTTTTTGTTTTGATTGTTTCACCCGCGGGGAATGTACAATCCCCGAGCGTTCGTTCGCTTGGAAACGGGGGATTTGTTATGATTCCTTCTGTCCTCCGCCCGCAACGTTAGATGACACGGGATTCGCGCAAAGCAGGAAGTACGCGACGAAGAGAATGGATCGAACCTTATTTCTCTCCTGGACACACAGGCATGGCCCTCTTTGTCGTAGCAGCACTGAGACTGATGTATTTTCATTGGCCAGCTGGCCAGCACGATCGACGCCAACACTAAGGACACACATAGCATACACTCACGGGTTAGTCCCAGATCACGGCCTATAGTAGCATTTTCTGTTTTCAACTGCACTGGGACTGACGTCCGTTTATCGGTCAGCATCCGGCCGGCATCATCGATGCCAACAATAAATAACACACGCACGCACACACCTGCGCCCCCCCCCCCAAAAAAAAATCGTGGTCACCCTCACATGTCTGTTGATCTCGACGATGACGATCTCGAGGTCGTATTTGTGGTCCCCCAGCCCCCCCAGCCTGGCGACGCCTCCGTCGAACAGGTAGTAGTTCATGTAGATGAGCCAGGTGTTCTCGCCGTCCTTGCTGTGTCGTGAGCCACGAAAGCAATACCAGTGCATAGTCGATACACGGCGTTAGGGGCGGCACCGCGGTATACCATGCTGGGACACACAGGGGGTACCCGTTTATTTTATGCATACAGCGGGGGTCCTTCAATAGCGCTGGTGGAATAGTGCCGCCGCTCAAGGTAGCGCCGGTAAAATCGCGTGGCGCGGATGGAATATTCCTATTCAAGCTGTCTGATTCTCTGAATAGACATTCCCGGGTGCCCGGTATACTGCCGGTGAATCTGGCGGGCGCATACCGGCACTACAGTGGAGGGCCCTCAATAACGCCGGTATGAGCCCGGCGCATCGACCGGCGCCATTCGGAGGGACCGGCGCTATTCAATGTACAGAATGGCTTGCTTGGTGATTCAGTCTGTGCTCAGCAATTTCGCCGGCGCTCTACAGGGCCACCGGCGTCAATCAACCGAAGCGGAAACTGCTGCGGTGTGCACAAAGAAAACAAGAAATCTAGCTCTTGGAGAAGCGGGAGACATGGTGAGACACCCTCGAAAGGGTATCAAAAGTAAAACAATTCGGTTTCTTGAACAGAGGGAAACGTGGGAGAAGCAACTCGTTCCCGATGGAAGGATGAGAAGGACACGTCCTCATTGCAGCCTCTCCTTGAGGGATGAATCTCACCCCGCTCGTCTGTTCAGTCCTACCAAGTACAGCAGCGAAGGCATACAGCAGCCAGCACCGCTGTCACTATCAGGCCTACTAGGCAGAGCAAGCATCGCTATAGGCAGAACAAGCATCGCTACATATTCCGCAAGAGATGTAAGACCTTTCTCGCACGCCAGAAGATGGAGATATTTAGATACATACAGGAACCAATCACCTCTATAATCACGGGTCTTCTTCCTGATTGCATGCACAGAACGCGTGGCTAAATCCCTTTTCACTCTCACCTGGGGGTAGCGACGCCGTTGCACCCATCCACCTCGGATTTGTCCACGGTATACCTACAGCGCAAGTGGGGAAGAGGGATGAAGGGATTAATTGATGTTGACCACCTCAAAAGAGCAAAAAGGGGTAAAAAGATTTTCATGAAGCCGCGAAAAAGAACCCCACGAATTGTTCTCTCAGCAGCAGCGAAGGGAGGGGCGGGGGGGGGAGGGGGGGCGTACTCTCATGTTTTGCATGCCTTAGCGGTTAGACCATGGTCCAGGCGTCCTCGAGAGGACGAAAGGGGAGGAAGGGGGTAAGGGCTTAAATTAGGTTGACCTCCTCAAGTATTCATTGATTTTCATAAAGCCACGAAAAAGAGGCCCATGTTTTCTCTCTCGGGTCTACAAAAAAGGATTTTGTTAAGCGTACCACACACAGACGGGTTGCGTATGTGTTTCATGTTGGCATGCGTCCAATGGTATGCATACACGCACATGTTGCACATATCTTGCACCCAACGCGAAATATGGCTGTTTACTAGAACTGTTGCAATATCTCGAATGGGTAGTATTTCAGTTATTTAATCGTACTTGTGTATTTTCAAAAGGAAATGCATGTACCCCGCAGTTGGTAAGCCTCAACACATACATCTGAGAAAATCTTGGAGAATAGCCTCCATGCCATGTACGAAGTACAATATATTGTTTGCGCAGAACAAAACTTCGGCTCATCATGACCAGTTCCGGGTATTTATTCAAGTTCCTCCGAAGCAAATTTTGCCAAAACATATCGCCAAATCCAGCCATTGTTTGGTGTATTTGCATGCATACGCTCGTCCTGTGGAAGGGTGTCTTCACACAAAAAAGAGCCAACGTGTTGATACTATTGGTACTCGTACCCCAGCCGTTTTTGACAGGAAAACCTACACCCCGCTTCTCAGAAGGAATACCCACTCCGGAGCAAGCAGTAGAGAATTTTGCAAACCGGGCGTGTTGATGTGTCACAGACGACTACACCTGCTTGAATTTGGACTCAATCGAAACTAAAAAGTCCTGTAACTGCTGTCGAGTTATGCCACCAGAAGAAAAAAAAAACATGTACATGTTCATGTGCACACGAAGTTACTTCTTGGGTTTCCCCGCCCACTCCGCCGATGCAGCCACACGGTCGTGTTTTCTTCTTCTCTTGTGCGGGAAATATTAACATATCTCCCTCCATCAACCATAGGAACACATCGGTCGACATCTTGCTGGAGTTATTGATGAATTTCTTGGCACAAAACAAGGTATTTGCCGAGCGTGAAGTGGTGAAGAATCTTGTGAGTACAACAAAGAGAGCAGGAGCAGGCCGGGGGCCGGCACGCAGCAAGCAGTTGCCTGGCGGGATATCACTGATTGTCATTTCAGCCCGGCATTAATTCTCGGTGGTAGCAACACGCTGCCCTGGGGTCTCACCGCGTTGTTTGTCGTGTTTGCTCCATCCAATAGCATTACGCACTTCCACTTCTTCCTCCTCTTCGGCTGAAGGCCGCCGCTTGTTTTTTAGTATTTTCTTTTTGTTTCCCATGGTGAACACTACCACGAGGTAGTTCTACCAGCCCACGAAGACCTCGATAGGCACACGCACTGTGTTGACGCCAACTATGAGATGGATGTCTCCAGGTTCACGTGTGGACAAGTTCCTCTTGGGATGTGTGGTATGGATACACCTCTTACGGAGAGGCTGAAGAGCACGGATAGTTGTGTTGTGAGTCAGGGGGGGAGCGAGCCCGCAGCAGCAGGTTCAGCGTCCATCATACAAAGACTCTATCTGTGGCAACACCCCGAAGGTATATCTCCGACAGGTCATCTGACGTCACGATCTATGACAGTCTGAGGTGGCATTCACAGCTTCTCATACCATTTGAAGTATTAAAAAGTGTTGATGTATTTTTCCGTTACAAAGACTGCCTTCTTTTCATTATTAGTCAGTCGGATAGCGCGGTCAATGCCAACAAAGAAAACACACGCACGGGGTCGATGCTGTCAAAAAGACACAACACCGATCATGGGGCTTTGGTAGCACTAATTTCTTGTTTCCGCACTGAGACTGACGATGTCGCGATCGGTGCTAATAATCACGCCCGCACATACATTTTTTTTGCTGCTCTCGCTACATGGAAGGAGCGCAAGGAGGATGAGATTTTGCTCCCTTTTTCATCGTTTTGGAGGAGTATAGTAGATAATACATAGGAGCTTCAAAACGTTATTTTTTTGCGCAAGAGATGCATCGGGTGAATAAGTGAGTGTCTTCGTTTCGCTGTCGGGTGATTGGCCCGTGTAAGGCCGGTGCCACATGTGTGGGGTACACTTCATGTGAAGGGTTTACGCGACATTTCAGGCTAGGAAGTACGTGCGTGTCTGTCCCGCCCAGTTGACTTTCGACAGGGTAGGATTCGCACGTGTCGTGACAAAGTCTGCCCACGCCACACCTTCACCATTCACGGTTCATGGGGTGCTCTGTTGGCTCCGCAAAGCGTTGCACCCAGAAATCAAACAGTTACAAGTGTTTTAAAGTGGCGGTGTGGCACGTTTGTATGCGTAAGGCCCTGAATATTAGTGCTGGGGGACCCTGAGTAGTGCCGGTTTGGCGCTATTCAGGCACTCTATGCATACAGCAGTACTAGGAAACATAAATACAAACACAGAAGGACTACTGTCGGAGGGGTTGTGTCGTGGGAGAGAACACCGTTACAGCCGTTATAAACGGCAGAATAGGAGCAAGCGGAGCGGGCTTCTTCAACCCCGTGCACGGAATTTTCTGCGCACAAGAGTAAGAAGGCGAACCCATAGATGTAGTTTCCCTCCCAACCGTGGGCACGATCGAGAGCGGGATTTTCTTGGGCGAGTCTTCCGCTACTCCCCCTCGCCGGCAAAGAAGGCGCGCGGGCTGTTGGTGTTTCCGAAGCGATGTGCGCCGCTGCTATCGTGCAGCAGCAACAGCAGAACCCTCGTGTGTGATTTTATTCCGACGGAGGGATGACCCCGCCAAGTCGAGCGCTTTTCCGAGATGTAAAGGTTTCATGTCTTCTCTTCTCCAAAGGCCAAGCATCCGTGTATGTTTCTCCTGTGGCTGTGCCCTACCTTTTGCGTCATCCCTTGGGCTGTGTGCCCACCCCGAATAATAACAGCGCACGCACAACATTCACGTCACTGCTGAATACCAGTTAACTCCTGGTTACCCCGCACCCCGCACCCCGCACCCCGAAGTCTCCGGTTGAACATGCGACGGCAGTAAATGCTTCACAGGTACAGCAGTAGACACACGGCTGCTGATAGCGAAGCACCCACCTGTTGAGATCGATGGGGAACAGCGTCTCCTTCTCGTCGTAGAAGTACCGCGGGAAGTGCTTGACGAGCAACTCATCGTCCGTGAGTCGCACCGTTGTCGCAGGTGCTGCTGCTGCTGTTACTGCCGCTTTCGCTTCCGTCTGCTTCTCCTCTGCTGCCGCCACAGGCACAACCACTCCGGCGTCCGCTTCCTTGACTGGTTCGGCCATGATTCGATGCGCGAGGGTACAGGCCTTACTGCCTTTGGAGAGACTGGGCCTGGGGGAGAGAACACACCAAGTGCCAAAGAGGGTAGGTGTGTTGGTTGATCGCGATGTACGGAAAAGGCGCGGAAAGAGGGCCGTGGAGGGGGCACGCGGAGGATATTCCAACGTGTAACCGACGGATCGGATCGCCCGCCGACCGACGATTGCACGTTTCTTTCGTGCAATGTACCGCATGAAATGAGCTCTCGGTGTGCGAAGATGCTACCAATGTACAGCTTTGGATGGTAGCACCGCCCCTTCTTCTGCCGTGTCCCCTCAACCATAACACCGCATCGGACTGAGACGAGGGTGACAACAGCGGGGAGTATATATTGTCACGTGGATCCAGAGGACGGCGATTCTTATATTGTACCGCCGACAAAGACGATGAGTAACGGCAAGTTTGACTTCTCACCGGGCGGAGTTGTGGAGGTGGGCATATCAGCTACGTGGCAATTCACGACTGCGCATCTCGAGAGCAGCCAGAGGACGCGCAGCATGCCGCCGTTGGAAGGCACAACATCAGCGAGGACCCCGCGCGCCCCCCAAAGACCTGGTCATCTCCCCCGCCGCGCCCATCGCTACCAGATTTTCCCTCGTTGCTGGAGTCTTCAGCGTCGATGGAGGCAGTACAGAACCGGCCCGCACTTAAGAACCTCTTATTTGGAGCGAGGCTCGCTTCTTGTTGGCTGCCCCAAGCAGAGCACAAGTTCTTATTTGCTAAGTTCTTATTTCCTCGTCCAGTTCTCCAGAAAAGGTGTGTTCTTGTTCTTTTGTCATCATCGAATGCTCAATTGGTGCACTACTCTCAACTGCACTCGACCCAGAGTTTCATGCCGCAAACACCCCCCTCATATGGGGTAACTGTCAACCGTCTTGGTCCACAAGAGTGACGTTGGGGGTGCGTACCCTTCCCGCCCTACTGACGCTCTCAAGCAAAACCCACGAGCCTATCGCCGCGTCCGGATCTCCGCTGTACTTGTCCAAGGGCAGCTTCATCTTGCGCGTACTGTGGTCTACCTCCAGCTGCACACAGTAGTCGTACAGGTGGCGCTGCGGAGATTGCTGAATGATCAACCCACCGAACCACCCCATGCCCAGCCTAACAAGCACTCCACGTTGCAAAAGCAATCTGTCAAGAGCAGCGGGGGTAGATTCTTGGAGGCGAAAGCCCGCCGGGATCTCCATTCCCTGCGTCTCGTCCTCCGGGTCGTCTGGGTCCATGCTGTCGTCCTCGTCCAAAAGAGCTAGCTCGTCGGTCTGGGATTGAGACATGTCTGCGACAAAGGGTACCGTGAAACACGAGAAGGAACGTACGGGTGTCATCGCCGTTACTCAACTGAAGCACACCATGTGTTCGTAGACGTGAAGCGGAAACAGAATATCAGCAATATCCCAAACAGCACAAGGAAAAATGAACAAAAAGGACAATCAACAACGGTAAAGATGAATAAGCTGTAGTCTATGTAGTGCCAATCAAACTCACCGTCGTCGTCTTCATCGCTGTATCCAGCGTCCTCCACGCCCTCCCCGTTGTTGGCACCGTTGCGCTCATCTCCGACGACCGGCTCGCGCCCTCCGGCGCCCTCCTCCTCCCGCCCCTCGGGCCCATCGCTGACGTCCTCCGAACCTCCTTCGTTCTCGCTGGAGTCTTCATCGTTTGCGAAGGTGTACGGCTGGTCCAAACCCTCCAAGGTGATTCGATCATCGCCTGAGCCGTCCACGGTCATCGCCATCCCGCACTTTTCGAAAAGGCGGTGTCGGTACCCCTGGTTGCTGTTGAGTTTTGCCATGGCCGCTCCCGTCCATTGAGTGATCAGTACGCGCCGGTCAGAAGCTGTCAGCGACGCGGTTTCCCACCTCTCGATGTTGTCCGACTGATCGAGCCACTTGTCCATCTCTTTACCGCCTTCACATGTGCCTTGATCGTCTCGAAGTGACGGTCAAGAATCAGTCCTCGTTGTTTCATCTCCGAGAGTTTGCCAAGATCCTTCAACAACCCGTGGGATAAGGGGTTGGACAGGGACATGATCCCCCTGCACGGCAGGTAACTCGTGGCACGCTGCACACGCTGCTTCGAGTAAATTGAAACATCAACAAAAAAACCCTCCGCGCTGGCACAGGGGCACGATGTATACAGCATATGTACCCCCTGATTATAACCCTTAAAAAAATCTAGAAAGGGAAGTCTAGGTAGGTACCGACTACCCTAAAACCTGGGAACGCCCCCGCCCCCACCTCCTCCTCCTGCTGTGTATGTTCTTCTCTCGCCACCGCGTCACGTCATATATGTTCTTATCTGTAGAACCAGTCGTACACCTCACTGGGGGTTCTTATTCTTAACAGCAGGTCCGATCTGAGCACGTGTTCTTAGGGGCAAGTTCTTAAAAATTGGATTTTTTGAGGCTCAAATTCTTAACGTCCATATTCTTAAGTGCGGGCCGGTTCTGTATACGGCTTGTTGTCCAAAACTCTCGAGCGCGGTTCGACCATTGCCTCCACCGTCAGCGATCGTTCATCGCAATGCCACACCGTGCGAAAAGACGAGTCGATAGGACGCGGGCTACTTGTTGTCAACAATCTCCATGGCTTCACGTGTGTGTGTGTCTACACTATGTACCTGATTGCGCCTTCACAACGGCGCAAAGAGATCAACGTCGAGAAACGCCGGAGGACGTCCAGCGAGATTTTCCTACACGTTCTGTAGCCTGTGGTCTCTCCCGCCGTTCACGCCGACACGCGGCGCGTCCTCGGGGTAAACGCTCCACCTTCGGCGCACCGACTCTGTCTGTCAGGAGATTGCGAAACTTACATTTATTTGCAACGATATTTACTTTGTTTATTATCTCTTCTTGCAAGAAGAGCTGCTCGACAGGCTTGAACTGTAATTTACGCAGCACTGCCAAATATTCTACCACAATTTGGGCCACGAGACTTGGGGGGTAGGGGGGATAACTCCAACCGAATACAATTGTAGTAAGGGTGTATGTATGTGTTTCTCGTAACATCGTCTGTTTTGAAATGGACGCCCAGGAGGCAGGTTGAATTTTATTGAAGGTGGAAGCAGGATGGATGCAAACATCGATAGCACCCCTCAAACAACAGATGCACGGAGTGACGGCGCACGGATAGCTAATCCTTAGAAAGGACCGTAGACTACCAATGGCATTGACAACATAGATAGATAGATAGATAGGCCCTTCCGTCGCAGGGTGGACGATCCCCTCTACTCGGGCTTTTTCCCTCATGAATATTTCGACGAGTAGGCACATGTCCAAACTATCGAATAGAATCCTCGACGGATTCTCCATACGGATTCTTACTTTTGCTCACATGGATTGACATTTCTCAGCGCGCACAGACCCCACAGCAGTCACCACTAGCTTCAAAGACGCCCACAGGTGTGTGGGGTGTACAGCCTTCAAGTTCTGGTGACGATCCGACCACATCGTGGAGGGAGAACTCTGTCGTGATGTGGTGAGGGGTCTGTCTCTTGGTCGAATCCGTGGCAAACCAGGGGGGTAGGTATGCCAGTCCAAAACAATCCGTCGGGCCAACTTTCGGTTGCCATAAGAGTCAGCCTAACGGACGACGTGCATGCCAACTTCGTTTGGCAACTTTGCAAGTTTTGAAGCACTGGAAAAAGGGGAGCAACTAACTGATGACGGCAAGTGTCTTGATCCGTTTGTCATATGTGGGGTGTGCCAAATGCCAAGTTGGAGATTGTCGGGGCAAGCGAACACTCGTCCCTCGAACTCAGAGATGTGAAATGACGCAGAAACACAGCGTGAGAGAGAAGGCACCACACGGACAGGTGGGTGCATACCGGCCGTCTCACTTTAAAATGGGTTCGATAACGGTACGTTTGAACAAAATGCCCATGTTCACGGGAGTCCAACCGATGGCAGCGAGAGGCCCAGCACTCTTATGCGCTAAAGCTACTTTGTGGCGCGGCCCCGTCTGCTTTTAGTTTCAACATTCTAAACAAGGACAACAACGACGCCTCGCCGCCTTGCAGGTACCACACCTACAGCGCTCGAGGCACGTCGAGCTTCAGATACAACATGCGTTCCGTCGGAAAGGCTCGATCGCGAAAAAACATCATCGATTTTCTATATATCTCGGACACCATCACCCATCCATCCCGTGAAGACTGCTTAATTAACTACAACAGCAACCTCTCCATGGGAACACAAGTAACACCACCTGCAAAAAAATAACCACAAAATCAACCACTTCCATGTTTTTGGCTCAGCAAAAACAAAAAAAAAATACACGTCGCATACCGGACAAAGTTGGAACCATATTTGTACCACGTCGTAGCACGGCCTTGATATCCAATGTCGTTTGATCTACCCGCTGGAGCTATGCTCAACTGCCGACCTCTCCCGGCATCACAGAAACTGTCAGCTGCGTGCGATACCTAAAACAACAGAGGCTCTGCTTTCCTGCGGACCACACCCACACACGGCGCCACAGCACGCTTTGGCTCAACAAATCACATAATCCTGTACATGAAACAATGTTACCGCTACTGCGGAAAACATCGTCGAAACTTGCCTACTAATAGGGCACGCACTACACACCGCGGGGGGGGTAAAACAGGCATCGAGGGTGGTGGTGGTCAGGGCTAACACGTTGAATGAAGACTACATGAAAGCACACAGGATCGATGTGAAGTTCCGAGCTATCGAAGCCGATCCATTCACACCTCACTCGTCAACAAACCTAAGCACTCCCCCAACAGCATGCCAAACGAGATGTGCACGTCTTTGAGCCAAGAATTGTTCCGTTGATCCCGTCGTCTGGAATCCAAAAACTTGTTCATTTCGTGCCCACGCCAACGTCCAAGGCGTCAACGGCACGAAAACGACCCCCGGGTTTCCAAACAAGGAAAGGAACTGGGAAAATCCGGGCTAACGATCAACGATCTCGATACTCTTGGGGAATTTCGCGCCTACATGGTGCGACGAAGGGCAATCAAAGCTAACACAACAGAGCCAAAACTAAGACCCAGACGGCGTGATAAAAGGCCCACTCGGGAATGACGTCCTCTAGGAACTCTGGCACTTATTTGATGCTTCACATTCACCACGCCCCGATGTCACTTGCGGTTTTTCTTTTTGCGCAACCCATAACACGGCCGCCCCACTCTATTACACACAGCACGTTCGCTACATGGACGTACTGCTTTTCGACTGACAGGCATATGATGCACTTTCCAGTAGAAGCGTGACCAAAGCCTCATGTCGCGTTGCTCTTTCTCCTGGACTTCTTTTTCTTGATCTTCGGGCTCGTCCCTATGCTGCTGCCGCCGCTAGCCTTGGAAGCCGTAGCGGGCTCCTCGCCTCCCCTTACTCTCTTCTGCTGGCGTCATCAAACACCAAAACGAAAGCGACGGGTCAACGAACAAAAAAATGCGTGGGGTGTCGTGTCATCGATCAGTTGGAGCCGGGAAGCCTTCGCCTAACGGCGGCACCGGGTTTCAATGGTATTTGTGTATCGGGACGTGTGCGTCGGGGTGAGGCGGATGCAAAGAGACAACACAATATTCACACAACCGTCCCTCAGAGGGGCAGCGAGCGGCGGGGGCCTGGCCCCGTCGTGTGGCAGTCGCCTGACAGGCCACACGCGTACTCAAAACTCCATGTTGATCCCAACAAAAGAAAGCGCCTGTCAAACTTCACAGAAACACACACTCCACACACCCCGCCCGAAATGAACGGGGCACCCTACCGAAGAACAAAGTGCCTAACGAATTCCGTCAAAGCTAAGGAATGAAGTGGTTTAAAGGGGGGCTGAATACTGAAAACACAAATTCTGGAGATACCGTGGCTAAACACAAAGTGCCACCCTCTGAACCGGTTGTCAAAGCTTGATTACTCCACGACGAAGATGATGCTTAAACGAAACGATGCGTATTCGGAAAGCTCTCGACGAGATGGCTTTCACGCCGCCATATTCGGCGGCGCCCCTCTTTCTGCTGTGGAGTAATCGGGCTTCGAAAATCGCTCCCGGGGGTGTGGTATCTTGTGTCATGTCCCTACGGTAGTCTCGGGAAAATAAATGTGGGCCAGAACGGAGAGCAGATCCCACGGGATCGTTGCACGTGGCGGCGCATTGCTGCGCCACGGTCTGCGGTGATCCGGAATCGGCGCCTAGTGTCCGAACCATGAAACGTAAACGTCATTGCTATCCCAAAGCACCGGCTTCTTTCACTCATGGTCAGGAATGAAGAGAATTTGACAAGGTTTGGGTTTCCCTTTCGAGAATTTCACGTGGTTTGGTCGATGGTTGTGCACCGTTCCATGAGTTACAATTCAATCAACAAGACGCAAGTACACACCGACGAGCTAAAACAGCACCATGATATCTCGACATTATTTGCTCGAAAGCAAATGATGACAAAGCGACATCAGCCGACCTGCTGCAAAAAATAGCAGAAACTCTCGGCTTCAGGTAGCATGAGTTCTCAGCTTCGAGCAGCACTCTACCGCAAAACGACTTGGGCCACATTTAGTGTGTCTGAAAGGGGTAGGGTTAGACAGAAGCTCTGTAGGGAGAGTGTTGGTTGCCTAGGTGGACAACTCAGCAGCTTGACAACTACGACACCGGCGACTCCAATGTTCGTTCCCGACCCCAAGATGTGCTTCACGCACAAGGCATGCTTACCGCCGGCAGAATCCGAACGACTTTAGAACCGGCCGAAAAACGCAGCAGGTTTTTCCCCCATTCACCGAAAAGACTTCAACCCGTCCCGTTGGATTGCTGTGGTTGTATGCACGTTTCCTAAAAACGCGCACTTACCTTGGTCGTCTTCTCAGGAGTGACCACCGAAGCCTCGGTCCCTCCGCTCATCGGCTCTGCTTCACCGCCGTCACCGGCACTTGCGGCAATGAGGTCCGTCAAGCTTGGCGCACTGGACGCCGGCTTGACGCCGCTAGCACCCTCGAGAGCCTCGTAGATCTGCTGGAGCTGGAACAGCGTCTCTTCAGGGATGCGGCAAAGGAGTTCCCCCGACGCGGCGGGTTTGGTTGCGGTTTGGACATCGTCGTCCCCGACGTCACCATCCCCACCCTCTGGGGCGTCCGGACGCTGATTTTCACCAACAAACCTGCCTTTACGTGGGTGCGGTAGAACGTTGTGGAGCAGCAGAGACGGGGCAACGAAACAGGCATCAGTTGGTACGTTCACGAGGTCCGCGTAAACGTTTATTTTACACATTCCTAGACGAAAAAGTCACCTACTTGAAGCAGCAGCAACAGCACCAATGCGCTCGCTGTTCTCAAAATGCAGGCGTTTTTCGTGGTGTGTGCCCGGATCGCAAGAAACATGTTGTAAAGACAAGAACGTGGGACTCGTTTGTTGGGTAAAACTGGACCCTAGCTGTGGACAGCCAGCACCAGACCGAATCTACACCTCCCAGCATTAGCAATGAATGTTGCTGTTTTACACGACAGCACGACGCGCAACATAATACGAAACATAATACGAGAAAAACTACAACCTAGAATGTGTTCCGGGCGTGCTAAGCTTCATGATGCTACGCCCCGAAGCTACATAGACATTGCACATCGACGGATCCAGAGTAAGGGTATACCCTCGAAGGTGTGTGCAAGACAGACCCCCTGGACCGATTTCAACGCCCCATTACTCCACAGCAGTAGCAGTGGTATGTGGTGGAAGGAGCCACGGTGCCGAAAACGGTGGCGTTGGAACCGTCTCCTCGAGAACTTTCCGAAAACGTATCGTTTGATTTGGCATCCTCTTCGTCGTGGAGAAGTCGAGCTTTGAAAATCGGTCCGGGGGTGTGGTATCTCATGTCACCTACATACGGACGGTACCCACCCCGTCGTTTGTCGTCCAGAATTGATGGCTGTGCTCATCCGATAGGTTACCCGACAGGAACGAATGCAACGGCAACCGCTACAGGAGACGCCATCTAGTCCATGGACGTGTCTTCCAGGGGAGTTGAGGGCACCATGTGTAATTCTCGGGCGTTCGTTACCAGTGTTGGAAGCTGAGGGAGCTTTGCAACACGATGTACATTGGGGGTAGTGGGCGAACGCCTCTGAGTACGAACGACCCAGCAGCCTTGGTTTCAGCAGCAATTTCCAAGTAGGAGGGATGTGGTGCTTGCAAAGTCTGCATGCGTAAAGAAAAAGCCACCGCTGCTAGAACAGGAGGTATCAACCCACATCGGGGAACTAATCGCATATACGGCACAGGAGCATGTGCGGAGAGAGGGCGGGCTGCGGGCTGCGACCGACCCACATCCACTGAATACCGACACGACAAATAGCACAGGCGAGATCGCTTACAACAGCAAGTCTCCGTACCTGCGTAATCGTTTTGCCATCTTGGCACTGGATATCGTTTTCCTCTTGGCCACGACCAGCTCCGGTAAGCAGTCCATGACGACCACGAGGCAATGTACGTCTCTACTGTGGTGGGTGTGCGCAGTGTTGAGTGAGTGTTTGTGTGTGTGTGTGTGGTGCTGGCTGCTCAAGACCGTAGCGGAGGCGCCGTGGAGTGATTGGAAGGGTACCAGCATAATTTGCGATATTATTTCACGGCGCCTCCAAGCCCTCCCTTCCGCTAACCACCCACCTCTGCCTGCTGCTGTTGTGTTACAATCCACGCGCAGCAGCCCCACACAATGGCGGTTAACGAGCACAGACCGACGGTAGCGGACATCAAGTTTCAGGTGAAGGAAGGGAGCTCCCTGTCTTCGGCAACGTTCATATTCGGGTGAGAACCTGCTGTGCGTACACTTCGATAGGATAGGCGCAAGAGCAGCCAGCCGTCTCGGCGAGGGTTGGCGAACCCTGGATGTTGTAACCTCGGGGTCGCAGCAAGTAGAAACTGCTGCCGTGCACCTTCCAGTTTTGTGCATGTTGTTGTCTCGCTGTTGAATTGTGACAAACACGACAACACCATGATGTGAAATGTCGGATGTCGGGCATGAAATATCAGATCTCTGTCTTCTTCCCTGCCCTGCGGAGCCAGGCCGTGTTTGCCACACGCGCAATCGGACGCTGTGTAGAAGAGTCAGCTGCAGCAGCCCTGGCGCCATTCGTTACCTCGGTTCTTGAACACCAAACAGCGGAAACTGGAGCAGAGGAATACGTTGTTCACGTATGCACTCACAAACAGACGGCGTCCTCTATGTCGGTCTCAGCTGGGTAATACCTACCTGCTGTGTTCAGCTCGATCCAAGACTCCAAATAAGCCCAGTACCCAGCCGGTTTCCCTTCATTCACTGTAAAGCTTCAACACATCCCGTTCGACTGTGGTCATATCTCGAATGGGTAATATTTCTGTGTTTGTATTTCAAGAAACACACCAAGAGCTACACACTTCGGTCCGTTCCGTGAAGTTCTCCCCCAAGAGTCTTGTGGGTATTCTTGTGGGAGTCCGGCGTGGAACGTCACACTGGAAACCGTTGTTCTTTCTCACCATACACAGCCAGAAATTTCATGCATGTGTTCAACGAGCACCAATCCGCGTCCGTCCTCGTTTGAGATACCGTTTCCAGTGTGGGGCACCAGCTGCTGGGCAGAGAAGGGCCTTTCTTCTAGAACCTATCGGCTGTAAAGCCTGCTCAGTGCGGGTGAATATTTGGTTCGTCGCTGCGGTCGAATGCGAAGAAAGCGGTGTAGTGTAGGGAGTGGGTATTGGTCGCATGGGACTCCACACTATTGTCAGTCGCTGGGGGACTGCTGCTGTGAGACGAACAATCAATCAAACCGACACGGCAGGAGGAGGAGTGGCCCAGGCCTTGATGGAAGCCGTCGACGAGCGCAAACTGTATCAATGGAAGCCGTTGATCAACGGCTGAGGAGCGCAAACTGCTGTTTTTCTGTACATGCTACGTTATTGTTGAAGCAGGCGGTGCTCGTGGTGCAATCCGCACCCTCGAGGATCCTCCCGGGAGAGTTGTTCTTTGCGTTGTGGTCAACGGCAGCTTCCAATCTTTTTTGGCACGCTGTCCTACCCAAACAATGGCTACACGTCGACGTCTTGTTTTCACGCGAGAAAACACGATGGTGGCAATATCGATGTCGCTTGAACCGGTAGCAGACAGCACCTGTGGCAGCCACATGCCTCCATTTTATGAGTACATCCCACCCACAAATCCTGGATCAGAACACTATCATCACGTCCGTGCTCTTTGCCACCGAACAGTTTATTCTGTATGGGCTAGAAGAAGCCCTAGGTCGCGGCAGTATTCATCCACTACTGGGGGCTGGGAGTTTTCTCTCTTGAGGTTTGGCAAGGAGAAAGGTCTTGGAAGGGAGAGAGTGATAGAGGGCCGGGTATGTAGTCGCAGGACTTCCCACTCCCCAGCTCCGCAGGTAGCTTTGGAGGAGTCGCAGCGGAGGTTGGTCCTACTTCTGAAGTAAACTTGTGCATGTGCGCCAGTGGTGACGTCATCTGTACGCCTGTCATCCACAGTAAAAATATCTTATTATTAAAAGTAAAACATCCCAGCAGTATTTACCGTCAAGAGCATGTGTAGACCCTGCCGTCATTTCCATACAACACCGCCAACTCGATTCCGTGCTTCGCCCGCCGCTGTCGCGTGCAACGCCGCCATATGATTTTTTGTCAGAGACGAAGACCACACGCTCGGAAACGCCTTGCGTCACGTGCTGATGCAGAACAAAGAGGTGGACTTTTGCGGGTACAGCGTTCCCCACCCGTCAGAGCCCAAGATGAACCTCAGGCTTCAAACTACAGGTACAAAAATGGACAACAACAAAAAAAAATGTGTGCAAGGCGTCGTTCCCTTGCAAATCTCAAGTTCCGTGCACTGCTGCTGTACCTCGAGCCACAGATTTCCTCGAATTTCAGCAAACCGTGCTCATCGCTTAGACCGACAAGCTGCCAAGAGAATTGAGGCAACAGGGTAGCTTCCCTCCTGAAGAACATCACCTACCGTTTCGACGCGTGCGTTTTTTGCTGTTTAGAACCGTCGTCAACTTTGCTGCGATTGCACCGCTTTTCTGTTGGGCAGGTCGACCAGCGCTGGAACTATTGAAGGAGGGGTTGCGAGATCTTAGGGATCTGTGTAATATTCTGGAGGAGCGCGTGGAGCGAGAGATACCTGATGCGGAGGACGAGGAATCATGAACATCCTCACGATCCGATGTCGAAACTGTTTTGGACCCCCCAGCATTCGTTTTGTTGCTGTCGTGAGCGAGCAGGGGGGGAGTCGAAACTGTGGATGGAAACGAGAATGTCACTCTGTCTCCGTCAGTCTCTCTCTCTCTCGCACCACACATGGAAGTCGGGCATGTACTGATCTTTTGGGGGTGTGACCGCGTGTTTTCGTCGGGGCAAGTTGTTTGTTTTGCCTGTATTTATCGATGCGTGTCAGACATTTGTATATGTTCGTACATAATGTCGATCTTGTTAAGTTTTCTAGTGTTTTCTACCCCTGTGAGATGTTAACGTGCTTTGCTCTTGTTAATGTCCCTGGCTTACGTGGAACAAACGAATAAATGTACCGTCTCTTTGTCCACCTACAACGGGGCACATGGAAGCGAAGCTCCTTTCAGAAGCAAGCCGTATTAAAGTTTTCGAGAAATGGTTCAACACGTGGGAGCATTGCCTTCCGCGAGAAGCTTGTGGCGTCTTTCGTTTTGGGGCAGTTTTGGCGATTAGGTAATATCAAGAAATAAATCTGTTATCTTGCCGTTGGTTTTGTACGGGCTGTGGCGATTCTTGGGTAGACGACAATGATCTCAACAGCGGCAGCAGCAGCTGCCACTGCAATAGAAACGAGGATCAGGTGGTGTCTTGAATTTGAGGCTTCCTTCATTGGTTTGTTGGAAAGTCGGGGGATCGTGAGTCGTGAGCGGCTTAAGGATGGTTGGCCCAAACTCTGGGGAGGGTGTCCTGATCTGGAATCCAAACATCGGTGATCTGGACTCCAAACATGAGTGATGTGAAACCAAAGCATGAGTGATCTGGAATCAAAATATCAGTGCATTTGGTGTCCAAACATCAGTGAGTACCGCAGGAAGAGGTTCATCACATTCGCTCCGTTGGATAGGTCTTCGAGCGAAACAAATGTTTTGAGGTGGGAATGTCATCCGCGGGTTCGAGTGCCGATCGCAAGCAGAAGTGTGCCCCCCCCGCACACACATTTTCTCCGATGCTCATGGAGCTAAACAGTTGGTTGTGATGGACAATGCGGGCGATTGTGAGATCTCATGGGATGACGACTACTGTACGTCCGCTGGTCGATGTGACTGCCAAGAGGGAGCCGCGACCGCTACGTTCTGTAGCCCTACGGAGGTAAATGTTAACGGGCTCGAAACGCCCAGAAGGTGAGCAAAGAAGCTGATGACGACCAACGCGGGACAAGAGTCGGAGCACCCGAGGGTTGGCGATGTCCTCACGATCGAGTCACAGCGGTGCTCTGTCTCGAAAACTGTGTTCAGTGTTCAAACGACGAGGGTAAAGTGGCAATGGAGTTGTAAGGCCGACTCCCCTCGACAGCTAAATATAGCGGGATCACGGCATCGGATGTTGCCACCGCACGAATGTGATCATCACAGGCAACGGTATGAATGGTGTAGTACATCTCCAAGGTCCTACCTTGCACATGCTTTGTGATTTTCTTCATGGTGTACCCGAGCGGCTCCTCTAAACTTAACCGTGGCTCAACGCCCTTACAGTTCTCCGATCCACTACACTCCTCCAACAGGTGTTAGGAATGAAGTGAACCCCGCGAGGGGGGTGTCTCTCCCGCTCCTCTCTGTCCGGCGGGTTCCCCGGCCATCATCATCATGTCTTGCCGAGAGAAGCCGCCAGAGGCACCACCACCGTCATTACCGCCGTCTCCACCCTCGTCAGTGGCATTCTCCGCCGCCGTTGTCGCTCCCGCTCCTCCCGCCTCCGCCGGAGCCACACCAACACCAACACCACCCGCTTCCCCCGTTAGTTGAGCCGCCGCCGCCGCCGCCGCCGCCGCCGCGGCTAGCCTCTGCGCCGCCCTTTGGGCAGTGGCGGCCTCCATCACCGCCTTGGCAGCTTCCTCGGCGGCTACCGCATCGATCTCCGACTGTCGGGGTGCCGTCGGCGCGCCGGTGCCGACGCCGCCGAGCCTCTCCCGCACGAGCACCGTCTGTTGCGGGCGCGGCGGGCTGGCGGCGAAGGGGCCCCCCTTCGCTGCGACGGCAAGCGCCGCCCGTGCTCTGGCGGCTCTTGAAGGAGGGTTATGGCAGTTATCTTGTTGTTGCCTGCCACGGGGTGAGAGCCTGTTCCCAGGGGTGGGGGGTATAGGGGGGGTCGTTTCGAGAATGAGAGTCAGGCGCCCACTTCGCGCGTGCCAGCAAACGGAAGAGCCAGCCGGTTATACTCTCTTTGGTCATTATTATGGCTACCCTCTCGACCTCCGCCTGATTCAACGATCAGGGTGACCGTCGTCCACCCCGCCGGAAAACCGGCGTCCTTTCCGAATCCCCGATATCAACGCTATAGTTGCAGGGGTCGCCGATTCAGCGAAACGCGAATAACCCGGCCAAGGAGAACGACGTTCTTTGCTACAGTCGCAGCTTTAACTAGCACGATTATATCTACAAGCTACGAGAACAAGAAGCAATGCTCAGGGCATGCAGTATGGGGCCGGGGCCAACTTACAGGTCCAGGTCACCGTCATCCACCGCCCTGAGAAGCCGTTCTTCTTCCCCCCACGACTGCTGACCGACGGCGAGAGTGTCGCAATTCCTGTCGTGATCGTCGACTCGAAGAGCGGGCTCGTTGTCGAGGTCAAGGTTCTGCTGTGTCCAGCTGTTCGCTGCGTCCTTCTCCGGATCTGCCCTTCTGATGAGAGTTTGGAACAACTCGTGCTCACGGTTCTGTCGAGAAGGACGTGCAAGTTTTGTTTGTTTAGGGGGGGAGACGGGGGGTGCAGTGTGCCGTTTTTGTAATCGACAAAGCCATTTTGCACGTGCCGGACCAACATCGAGAACACACACATCGATCGATGGGTTGACGTCCTACAACACCAACCGTTTCTGGGTTCTTGGAAAATTGCCGCCAGGCGTGGGCAGTGATAAATGCATGGGCAGAAGAACCGGTTGACGCCGGGTGTCACGAAGGCACACTTGTACCTCATCGTGGTCCCCCCAAAGCCTGCCGCCGCGGGTTTCCACTCCCCCCTTGTAACGCGATCCATTATCTTCCACTCCATTGCCGCCCTTCCCTCCTAACCTATCCCACCAGTTCTGTTTCCCGCGGCCGCCGCCGCTGCTGCCATGGCAGAGATGGGCGCCAGCCGTCCAAGGCCGCGGCCGACTCGATCGCCGTTTGTAGGGATCGGAACTCTCCCCTTGGCCACCGTGGTAATCTGAGTGTAAGATAATTCGTCCTGTGTTGTGCTGGTGGTGCTGGTTATGCCGGAGGGCGCACTTCGTCTGGTGGCTCGCCGCTGTTTTTTGGAAAGGGCGTTTGGTTGCGTGTGTTTGGTGAGGGTCACGGAGAGAGGGGACGGAAACGGGCGAGGGAGAGGGAGCGTAAGCGGTTAAATTTATTGCGGGCATGAGCCCAGCGTCTTGGACACTCCGGTGATTGTCAATGGTGCTGACCGCACTCATGCCCCCGACAGAGACACCATCGAGGGAAAAAAGGGCTGGGCGTAGGCACAACCCACACCATCATCCATGCACGTCTCTGCAGGAAATAGACGTTGCATCCTACACGAAGCTGCGACGGATAACGTCGATTGTTCGCGATTGACGGTATGAAGGGTACCATCAACATCGATGCGCCTCAGCGAGTTTGGCACGTGCTGCTGCCGTGAACGTTGCCTTTGCCGTGGTTGTGGCGGTTGACCTTGGCTGGCGATGAATTAAGCATGTCACAACTTCCTTTCACATTTCCTAACGGGACCGATTGAAATTAATACCACCACAATCACCACCACCATGACCACCACAACCATAACCATAACCACAACCATAACAATAACAATAACCATAACCATAACCATAACAATAACAATAACCATAACCATAACCATAACCATAACCACCATAACCATAACCATAACCATAGCCATGACCATGACCACCATAACCATAACCATAACCATAACCATGACCATGACCACAACCACAATCGCAACCTCCGTCACCGAGAATAACAACAAAGACGACGCCGACGACGACGCCGACGACAGCAAACCGTCACACCACCACCTGATGGCCTTCGGGGGCTCCTCTGCAGGACTCCACCGCAAGTGGCCGGACGGTCAGCACGAGACGTGTTGCCACCGCCGCGATGCTGAAGGTATTCGTCCAAGTCCCGCCAACACTGCACGACGACGGAGGATATTTTTTGCCCAAGACGGATAGCACAAACTTAACTTCCACATGGTGTGAAGCGGCAAGAATCATAGGTAAGTGATACTGTCTACTCACCGACCAGGATCATAAACAACCGTGTGATGTAGCGCCCAGGTCTAGCCCGCACTGCGTCACGATCGCCTAGTCTTCCTAGATTTGTTCGAGTGGAGCCCAAGGGGTGACGAAGTGACGAACGGAATAATCGATTGGTTTGGATTTGAGCACACTCTTTGCTGCTCCCTTGTTTCGTCCCGACGAGCTTGCATACGCCCGAAGTACTACCGCAGAAGCACTAGCGGTTGCACAGCGAGGAAGCCGTCATGGAATCGAGGACTAAAAACAGAAGGACACAGCAGTTCTTGTATGTATTCTACGTTTTATGCCTCTGCTCGCCGGCCAGGTCGTCTTGTCTTTCCACCACTCCGAGAAAGGAGGGAAACGTCCTCGACAGAACATCGAGGAGGTTGCACCCGTCTAGAGGCCATCTCCACAGCTCACGCTCGTTTTCCTGGCGTCAGCACGGCTGATACAGACAGATGGCAGAGTGCATGCCGCCAACGTAGGGATGCTTATCTGCGTCAAGGAGAAGCATCTTTAGAGCCCCAAGTCAAGTGCAAGGGTCTACCCCTTTTCCTGTCGTCGATACCCATCACCCGTGCGACCGCCCATCCTCACCCCTACCGCGTTGTCTTGCATAGACAGATCGTGCAATTGGTGGCGTACGAACAGGTCTCCCATGTGCTTCGTCAGGAACAACTCATAGCTTCGTATGCTACATCTTGTGAGAACGCTACAGGACTATTCGCTCATACAGAAGCCTCCACGGGTTTTCCAGAAATAGACCTGTTATATAAGTATATATTCTCTTTCGTCGCGATGGCACACCTGCACAGCTCGCCCGTCCCCTGCGGACCCCGATCTTTCCATGTCGACCCCCTCCTTCGGGCAGCGGGAGGGGGGGAGATCTCCCACTGCCCCTCCATTCACCGCTGCCACTTCCGCCGCCGCCGCTGCCGCCCCCACGTCGTGCTTCATTTTTTGCTGCCCACCGCTCCTGCTGCCACCGTTTGGCGGTCGTGCCATCTCGCACGTCGGTGCCTGCGGAACCCTCCTTTCGGCCAGAAGCACCGCCTCTCCTTCTCCTCGTCCTCGTCCTCCCGCTTTCCTTCCTTCGGCAGTGGCGGCGACAGCAGCAGCTTCGTTTTCCTCGATATTTTCTTGCCCCGGTCCCCCGTCGCTGCGCTGGCCATCGCTGGCACCTCCCCTCCCTGTCCCCGCCTGCGGCGTTCTTCTCTGCGCGTGTCGGCCGATGGTGTCGACCACATCAATCGTGCCCCTTGCCGGGGCTTGGTCGACCCTTCCGTCGGCGGCCATGACGGGAACGTAGTCTGCGTCGCCCCCGCCGTCGCCGCCGGTCCGAGGAGGAGGAGGCCTGGATTGTGACGGCGGGGGGGGTGTTTCTGGTGCGGGGTAATAATTGCGGCCACATATGTTGTACTGGGGTGAGCCGTTCGCGGACGACCGTGCTCGAGATCGGTCCGCGGTCTGAGCCCTTCTCCTGGGATGTCTCTTGGTCCCCCCTGCACAAGTACTGCAGCGTTTCCCGGTTCCTGCCCCGTTGCCTCCACTGCCACACCAGCATCGGCTACCGTAGTTGCCGCCGACGTTATCAGTTGGGGCGCTGGCTCGCGATCGTGCCGCGGTTTGTGCCCTCCTTTTCCTCAGTTGATTTGGTTTATCGGTTGGGGTGTGTGGTTGGCTGTTTTTTTCACAGCCGGGGCCGCGGCCGCCGCCGCCGCTGCAGCAGCCGCTTCTTTGACGCGCACAATCTCCGTCAATCAAAATTGCGCTGTTGAGGGATTCCTGCTCTCCTGCTTTGCCGTTGTTTCCATGGCCGCCGCCTTCTCTTCCCCCGACCCTGCCCCCGCCTGAGCGAACCTTGGCCGGCGCGGTCCCCGGTCTTGTGCCCCCCTTAGACGGCGCCTTTCTTACCCCGTCTCCTCTTCCTGCCCCCGCCTTGCTTCTTCCTTCTAAGCTGGACGATTGGCACCCTCGTAGGTTCGACGCCTCATCGGCAGCGGCGGCATTCCCTCCATGGTCGTTGAAAAATGATGACCCGTACCCTCTGTTGTGGCCGCCACTCTCACACTGATGAGCGAGCTCGGCGGCGCTCCGTTTCAGCATCTGACCGACAAGAGAGAGAGGGGGGGGGACTCTGACAGTGTGAGGTGGAGGATTGTACATAAATTACACGGTAAAGTGGGTGCTTCAACAGCAACCACAACAACAACTGCGACGACGACGACGATAACAAAAACAACAACAACAACAACAACAATGCCGTACCCTCATGTAGTACTTGATTTTCCCCGCCGATTTGCTCTCCATGGCTCTGGCTATCTCCAGCTCCGTCTTCAAGCCCGCCTTTGCCGCGGTCTCGTGCTCAAGCTCCGACAGAATAATCTGCTCGTTGCCGGTGGAAACAAAGAGCGGGAGGGGAAAGTCGGGGGGGGGAGGGAGTGCGGCTCTGGGATATGCCGCGTTTAGCGGAGAGCGTTCCTCGGAGAAGCATGAAAAGAACAACGCATTCGGCAGCAAAAATTGTGTGCCGACAACGATATCCGTAGTGGGTGGATTTCAAACCATGTGAAACTCTACTGGTATCATGTGAGGAAGATAAACTAGGCGACTGCATGAGCGACATCATGCTCCTAGCACAAGGCTCGAAGAATCTCGCTCGTCAATATTAGTTTCTAAGAAGACTATGATCGATTTGCAGCGTACATCGTTTGGGTGACCCCCCCCCCGCGAAATTGTTACGAGCGTTGGCGAGAAAGGCTGACAAGCTAAGCTCGCCTGAAGCTTGGAGTCGAGCTGCTTCAGTTTGTCTTTCAGCTCCTGGTTTTCCTGAAGGAGTCTTTCGTGTGCGCCCCCGAACGCGATCTCGACCTGCGGAGGGAAGTGGGTGGAAATAACCGCTGAGCTATCTGTCACTCGGTCAGCAAATTACTGCATGGCACAGACACATTAAAGGCTTGCCCCTAAACATCGGGGAGGGCTTTTCTATCGTGTACCAGTGGATGGTTATTGCCCCCCTCCCGCTTCCCCCTTCACCTTGAGCTTGTTTGCTTCGCTGTTACTCTGCGCACCAGAGAGGATGCAGCTTGTACATGTTATTCTTGCTACAAGTAAGGACCTCATGGACGGGCTTGAAAACGACGATGTTCGACTTCGGCACGCTTCCTTCCCGATCAGTGGCGAAGTACACCGAGCGTCAAAATTCCAATGAGAACTTTGCATTGTCATTTAAGGAAAGTCAGCCTGCTGACGTCCGTACGAGTTACGTCCGTGCACAACTGGGGCGGCACCTAGATGTTGCTGAATGTGAACAAGGCGAAAACTACAACAGCAATGAACAGCCAACTCAACGGCGGTGAAGAGCACGAACACCACAACATAAAAAACCTTCCACGTTAGCAGTATGTACCTCATCGCGCATGTTCTCCTTCGCCTCGAGCACCAACCGGGCGACCTCGTCTTCCTTTGCCGCTTCAACCTCCGAGAGCTTCTTCCTCAGCGATTGAAGCTTCAGTCGTGTGTTGTCGTTGTGGTTGTTGCCGGCGACATCAGTCGTATTTGTTATTCGTCGCCATCCGTGTTGTTGTTGCGTTCGAGAGGGTGTTGTAGTGCAAATACAATTGCGCAGCAGCAGCAAGCAAGCACAGCGGCAGGGGCGGGGCGGGGGGGGAAGAAGCCTTCAACGGTCACACCATCGACAATTTCGTCGCAACCAGCGATTAGAGGCATCGCCGCAAGCCATCCTGCATTGCATAGCGGCGAGTCGATCATCGTCGTGGAAGACTAGCTGAACGTTTTCATGTCAAACCAGCGCCCGAACGAACCGACCTTTATCTCTTGCTGATCCTGAAGCTCCGCGTTTGCCGCTTCGAGCGCCGCTAGCTGGGCGTTGACGCGGTCCCTCTCGCCAGAATACCCCTGCAAGCTCTCCACCTCAGACGTGAGAGCCTGCTTTGCGCAGCAGCAGCAGCGAGTCGATCGTCATCGTGTAATCAGAGAAGACTTGCAAGCTCTCCGTCCTGGCTGTCTGAGCCTACAACAAGGACGAGATTTACCTACTAAGAGATTCAGAGAGAAACAGATAGACAGAAGTCCTTTCCTTCGGAGATACGAAGTCGACAGAGTCTAGGAAGGAGAGCACTATTGTACCGGTATTGTGTGTCCGGAGTACCTAGCCCCAGGACGGAGCCGACGAGCTACGGTCAGTCACAAGAAAATTTCCGCTCATTGCACAGTGTACGCGCCACCACTTCAGAACCTCTTACTACTTTGAGCGAGGCTCGTCTCTTGCCTTATCTGTGGTGTACCCTACCGGCTATGTAAGTTTGAGTGTATGCTTTTTTGCTGAAGACCAGTTTTCTTGTGGCCAGGTTCTTAAAGTGGTCTCTCTTCGATGCTGAAATTCTTGACTCCCTGGTGGTCAAGTGGTGGCGCACGCTGTACTTCAGCGAGAGGAAGGGGCAGGAAGTATGCCGGGTCGAGTTTCGTGGGCCCAGACTCCGTCAAAGTGAGTGGAGGAGAGAGAAACACGAGACTGGCGCGCGCGTTGGCAAAACAAACAGGACGGCGGTGGTGATGGCGATAGAGCACTCGTTCACCGGGAAGGTATCGTTAGTAACCCACTTTTATGGTCTCCTGATAGGCAGCAGCTTCCGCTTCCCTCTGGCGCTGCTGGTCCCTCTCCTGCCGCCGGCGGTCGCCTCTCTCCGACTCCACGGTCGCTTCAAGCCTGTGCTTGCGGTTGACGGAAGGGGGCCGACGATAGGAAAAGGGCGGGGCGATTGTTGCAGGTCGGTGGAGACAAGATTTGTCGAATCGACCATGGTAGGCGAGACAACCTGGTCAGGCGAGGTAGAAGGGGGAGGAGTTATCTAAGGATACGACCGTCCTCTCGACGGTCTCTTATGACCGCAGTGCACACCTTTCCCGTGTATTGAAGTAGTCGCGCTAGACAATTCCGTTCAGGGGGAGGCATGAGGGAAAACTGAATCGTCGATTTCCTTCAGACGCTTGACGATCGATCACGCATGCCAATTCTAGGTGCAGCAGGGGGGCCGTGGGGCTGGGACCAGGAGGAACCAACACAGACGCCCTGCCCCGAAAGCCCTTTTCCTATCTCACTGTTCTTTGATCGCGGAGGCGCTCTCGACCGCCAGGGTGAGCTCCTGGATCTTCCGCTGCCGCGCTTGCACGTGGTCGGTGAAGTTCGTGTCGACGTCGAGCAGCTGCTCCTTGAGAGCATTGTTCCGAGCGCGCAGGAGGTTGATGGTCTCCATGCAGGTCTCGATCGTCCACACGTGGTCTTCCTGCAGTGTTTGCGGGGTGACATATGGAGCAGTTAGTGTACGAACGGAGGTTTGGTTAGCGTACAGTACGTCGGGGGAGTCGCGCCTAAACCGTTGTTCTGAGCATGGTCATTCGTAAATGCCGTCCTTGATAAGGTTGTTCCATCGGGCTAAAGTATCTTGAGTGATGTTGGAGCGTGGGGGGGGGGGGGGGGGGGGGACCCCGTTTTCCCTGCCTTAACCCTTAAACCATTTGCTACCCCCCCCCCAAAAAAAAAAACTTTTTTAAAACCAGG